CCCCCTTTTTTGCTCCTTTTCCTGAATTTGGTCATTCAACAATCACTGACGATTTTGCTCATGAGCTTCTGTTCCAGATTTTGACATGGGCTGTTGTGATATTTCTGTACGTGGGCAGAGGCAACGCACAAAGAAATACTTACGTCTCAGCTTAAAAAATATGGCCCCAATCAGGGCCATGCTCAGGCCTAAAATTACCAGGAAGACAATCAGCCATTTGGAAATGGAGGGAAAGAAGATATCTGTGAAAATGATGAAAAGGAGTTATATTCCGTCAACGGTTAAAACACAAGGATAAATAACTTTGGATGTGGTTGATGGCGAATTTGCATTTTGCTTGACCCAGGGAGACTTTTTCTCTGGGCATCAAATTGAGAATTAAGAGCTTTCTGAGCTCGGCAGACAGGTTTCCATGGCTCACAAGTCACATGAAGAGCAGCCACACCGGCTCTTGGGTTTTTTTCATGAGTGTGTTTCATTTCGTGCCTGGTGATGGAATGAAGGAACCATCGCCACCGGCCACGAGAGACACGTTCGCTCTTGTTTAACCTGATTCAGTGAACGCCTGATTCATCCCTCCGAGTGTGCAAGCCAGAAGGAGAACAGGACGTAAGACATTCCCCACATCGGTTATTTCCTGTTTTTAATTCCCCAACACTCGATGTTTTGTGATCTGTCCCTGGAGACATTCAAGGTCGGGCTTGATGGGGCTCTGAGCAACCTGATCGAGTTAAAGATGTCGCTGCTTACTGCGGAGAGGTTGGACCAGATGACCTGGAAAGGTCCCTTCCAACCTAAATCATTCTCTGATTCTTGGAGCCATCCCAAAAGGGATGCCCCTCGCACGCTCCTTCAAGAGCTCTGCGCTGCACTCTTATTCCTGAAGTTGAAGAAGACAGAAAGTTCTGGTGCTACCTCGCTCTTTTTTAAGAGGAAAAACTGATTTACTGCTGTAGTGGACTGATTCATGGATTTTGCCTTAAACATTTCTTGTAATTTTTTACAAACTCCCAGAAAACTGGTCAGAAAACTTACGGAATGTTGTAGAGGGGTGATGTAAATGCCTCAAACAGCCCCGAATATGTAAAGAGATTGGGAAATCTTGCGGAGGCAGGATGGCCTTATCTCTAGCATGTCTTCCAAAGAGATGGGGCATTCGCACATGTTAAAGAGAATTACTGGAAACAAGAGTTACTGGAAAAAATGGAGGGCCTCGATCCCCTACCTGACATTCTGCACGTCCGCACGTAGAAAATTGTGTATAAATTGAGGCAAAGTAAAGCAAAGATTGAAAGAAGAAGAAGAAGAAGACAACGATGGATGCATCCTGAACTCTGCTTTGGCAGGACTGGTGATATCTCCTTTTCTCTCTCCCCCTTCCCTCTCTCTCTCCCTTTTCCTTGCAAAATTTCTTCCTTGTGAGGGTTACCTCTCTCTCTCTTTTTTCCTTTTCCTCACTACGTCTATCATACTGTTTATTTGGGTTTTATGCCTAAATTTCTTTCTTGTGATGGTTAAGTGTAATATTGTCTGACTTAACATTGTGTTTAGATGTCCTTTATTATTCCTTGTTGTAGTGCATTGTTTATTTAACCTTTTTCTTGGATTTTTTGTTATATTGTCTGCCTTATCGTGCTTTTGAATTAGATTGTCGTGAGCCCGATCTATACATTGTGATAAATTAATAAATGTTTGTGTTTGGGCCTTGAGACTTGTCTCTCTGTTGTCCTCGCCGTTGGTGTATTACAAATCTGAAAGTCACTTGTCCCTCTCTCCTGAGTGGGAGGTGACAACCGCGTACTGACAAAGGTGGCACAGTCAGATAGAAAGAAAGGTGGAAGAAGACTGCAGCTCTCACGACCTTTTCGCCAGCCCTGATTCTGGGGCGACGTCTTTGGGCCAACTCAACGCCTTCAAAACTGGGCCCACGTCTTTTTTCAGTTCTACAAGTCAGGTGACTACGGACCTCACCCACCTGAGATCATGACTCGCGACTCCATCGTTGCGTTCAGCCGGTCGTTGACTATCCTGCAGGAGACTTCCAGGTCAGAGCCTGGCTTGAGGTGCATGGAAGCCACGACGCTGTATAGACCTGTGGGCATCACCGTCATCTTGGTGGTTGACACTTCCTTCCGGACCTGGCCTTGGCTATCCAGCCAAATCACCCGAGGTTTAGGAAACCATCCAGCTGCTTTACAGGTAAGGACGATGCCCTGCTCCATGTGACTCCTCAGGAAAATGGAAGGCACGCCACCTTTGGCTGAGAAAAAAAACACGTATTCTTCATTTCAACCAGTGCCGAGAACGGGAAGTTGTCTGGTTTGTCTTGAATTCAGCATTCCTGGTTTAGTGGAGGCTCTGGCTTTGCTAGGTGAACAGTTGGACTCGATGATCATAGAATCACGGGATGGTTTGAGTTGGAAGGGACCTTCAAGATCATCTCATTCTACCCCCCCTGCCATGGGCAGGGACACCTCCCACCAGACCAGGTTGCTCCAAGCCCCGTCCAACCTGGCCTTGGGCACTTCCAAGGATGAGGCATCCACAGCCTCTCTGAGCAAGCTGTGCCAACATCTCTCCAAAATACAAATGATCTTAAAGGTCTTTTCCAACGCAAACGATTCTGTGACTCTAAGATTCTTTTTTGATATATATAAATATATTTGTATGGAAGAAACATAGAAACACTTCTCTGAATTTAAACCGTGATGGATTCTGGGGCCCTGATGATCTGCACTTTTGAGTCTATTGAACTGAGATTAAGGAACAATTTTATGGAGGTTATAGCAAGTAGAGTTGCCTAGGGATGGCTACTCTGGAATAAAGCTTCTGGTGGAACCTCCCAAAAGGTTGTTTTAAAGCTAAGAAGTTATCTGGCTGCAACGTGAGGTGCTGTAACTCCTATCTACTAGAAATCTGTTCTTTTCCAGCAGGCAGAAGAACAGAGGAACATGAGTCTGCTTCAAGACCAACTTTGTTAGCTGAAGTCACCCATGGAGATGATGCCTACGGACGTAGTGAAATAAAAACAGGAGCAGAGATGACCTGTCTTGTTCTCCTGCAGCGGGCAACCAGCGAGGGAAGTACTGGCATGGGACCATCCGATCACGCTGGCCGTAGACAAACCCTGGATGATCTGCTCAGCAATAGTTGATTGCACAGGAGGAGTCTAAATTTAACTTTATGTTGGTCACCTGAATAATTGCAGGGTTCCCTGAATGTGCTCGCTGGGCTTTTGTTGAGCACGGAGGCAGATGGAACCCTCAGGACACATCCAGCTGCATGTGGTCAGGTATCTCAATTCAAGTGTCTCAAGCTAGAGCTAAAACTTACCTCACCTATTGGATGTAGCCATTAATTTAGATAAAACCACCTCAAATCCAACGCGTCCCTCCACAAAGACAGTTTACACATCAAATCATATTAAAATTACTCTATAATTCCCTCAGTCAGCGATGGATTCACGTTTCAGTCCATCTTGAAATAAAAAAAGAGAGAGAATTGCCACTGACCTGCCACTTGCAGCTCGATCAACGCGTCATGGTACGTGTCGTTGAAAGAGACCACACACGCGTACGATCCTTCATCGGAGCTCCTGACATTCTTCAAGTGCAGAGACGCGTTGCCAGCTCCAAATTCGCCACGGAAGAGCTCTGCTCTGCCTCGATACCTCTCGCCTTGTGTCTCCTTTTTGCTCTTCCCATCATATCTGCTCACAGTTGTTTTTTGAGACTGCCCATGGAATATCCACTGGACGGAGAACTCCTTGGGAATGTTGTCTGCTCCCACGTGGCAGGGCAGAATGACCCCCTCTCCAACGACTCCGACGATGGAGCTGTTAGGAGGAGAGCTAACAAATTGACCTGTTTGAAGAGAAAATGGCAGCTGTTTCTGTCCGTCCGTGTCGTATTGTTCATGGAGTTGTACCAGGCAACCAACAGAACCAGGACGAGAGGGATCAGAGTGGGTCCAGAGGAGGACCACGAAGATGCTCAGGGGATTGGAGCACCTCCACCATGAGGACAGGCTGAGAGATTTGGGGGTTGTTCAGCCTGGAGAAAAACCTACACAGATGTCTCAGGTACTTTAAACCCAACCAGATCACACCAGAATCTAATTTAGTGGTTTAATTTGATGATTTGTGTCGTCTAAGTTAAAAGGAAGAAAAATGCGCACTGCTTGGTTTTGACTTTTACATTTCTGCGAGCCCAGGCAGAAATAAATTCTTTTATTAGAATGTAATCAAAATGGAGACGGTTTTACCTGTAATCAGACATGATCTGCCTTGTAAAGTCAGCGTGTGAATAGCTGTCAGCCACCAAAGCAGGGAACCCATCGAGATCCAGGCTTCCTAACCACCCATGGGACCAAAACCAAAGCTCCCAGGTGAAATCCCCGTGCGGCTCCTTCAGCTTCTTCGTGCCTTCAGTGCGAAATAATGAGTGCGACTGGAGAGAAAAAAAAAGTAAAGGGGCACAAAATATGGCTCTCTCTGTTGACTTTTAAAGAGAAACTCATGATTTCACAAATGTGACCCTCTCCAACTTCCTCCAGAGATCTTTGCTCTGCTGAGCTCGTCCATGCTCACAGCCTACTTGCAGTGAAGGCACGAAACCCAGACTGGTGAGCTGCAAGGGCATGATGCAACTTAATTACAGCTATAACTTAATTACAGCTACAGCAGCTCTCATATTCCTCTCATTTTCTGTGATTTTTTTCTCACATCTCCAACCTCTGACAAGCTCAAGTGCTGTCGAAGAAAGGTATTCCCACCTGAAAATGGTAATGTCTCCTCCCACCAGTGCAACTGATTAAATCTACACCAATTAATTCAAGGAAATGCAGCTTTTTTCCACACAGGTTTATCAAAAGCATAATTTCTTACCTGACTAGTAAGAACCTTAAGACTTCCCGACAGAATATGGTCGTGGTGAACCTTTGTCCTCCTACCTTTATTACCACCGGAGCCTGTGATTGCATTTTCCATATCCAATAGGGCTACAGAGGACTGGGCAGTGCGACCTGACCTTGCTGTCGTCATTACAAGTTAGGAGAAAAGAAGCCTAAAAAATTCAGAAACACAAGGAGGCATCACCAAAGTGGCCCAATTTTGGACTTAGCAAGGGGGGGAAAGTCCTGAGAGCAGATCTTCTCTGCCTGACTAACACGTAAATGCTGGAGAAGGTTTTAATGTAGACAACAAAGTGCTTTTCTGGCATCATCTGAGACAAACCATAGAGTGATTTGGGTTAGAAAAGACCCTTCAGATCATCAAGGCCAACTATTAACCCAGCACGAAACCACGTCCACATCCGGAGAAAGCAACACCTCTCAGTTCCCATCTCTCTGCTGCACATAGGTGGAGCCACGTCACTGTAAAAACATTTCTGGCGCATCGTTGAGGGTGGAACAAATGCAAATAATCACAAAATATGCATAAGTTGGGTAATGTGTTGAGATTTCACCCTCCCTTAATAGATCAGGGCAGTCCTCAACGCTGCGGCTGTGGAGACAGGTGCTTGCATTTCAGAGATAACCCACACGTGGAACGAGCACTTATTTTCTTTGGACAGTGAAAGAGAGGGAAGTTTGAGGCATGATTCGTCTCATGACATGATAAACCACCGTTATGTGATTAAGGGAATCCCAGCCCTGGATTACCCAGGTGCAGCTGAGGTGCTGTGACCTTGGCCGTTAGAAGGAGTCTCAGCTGGATTATTTATTCTTCCTCCACAGTCAAAGGAGGGATGGGCAGCTCTGCAACACCACTGATCCTGCCTGGGCGCTGTGAAAAAAATCCAGAGTTTTAAATCTAGGTGTTGTCCATTCCCTGCAATGTTTTGGTGTGAAGAACCCACCTCACCTTTAAGCAAAGAGGGATTAAGCTCCCTTCAGATGTTCATGAGTCTTCTTCTCTTTGAAGGGTCTGAGTCTTGTAAATCAAGTAATTTTCCTGCTCGCCGCAGCCCTTAACTTCCTTTCTCAAGCAAATAAAAACAGTATCTTCATAAGGTCTTGCACTTTGAATTTCCAAATTGCGTAATTTCCTCATTTCTGCGGTTTCTTGCCTTCTTGTATACTCACGATTCTAACTTTAAGCCTTGCAAGTGGGTAACGAGCTCACACAACGACTCATCCTGACTCCTCAACCTCCCACCCGTGCTGTTTCTTCAGTTCAATTTAATTGAAACTCAAAAAACTGGTCGCCCCACAGAAGGACAGAAGGATTCGAAGAGCAAATCCTCCGGCTGAACTTTGGATCTAGGTGTGGAGGCAAATTGAGCCTCTGGTATCTGCAGTTGTTGACTGGGATATCGCACCCAAGGGCAAAACAAAACAAAACAACCAAAAAAAAGAACTAAAAAATGTTGTTTGTGGTGAAAGTTAAGTTTTCCGCGCTTGTAAGGGTGTGGAGGCAAATTGAGCCTCTGGTATCTGCAGTTGTTGGCTGGGATATCACACTCAAGGGTAAAAAAACCCAAAACAACCAAAAAAAAGAACTAAAAAAATGTTGTTCGTGGTGAAAGTTAAGTTTTCCGCGCTTGTAAAGTTTAGCAAGGAAACCAGTGACGTCCCTCCTCTGTAGAGGAATATGGATATGGAAAAGGATATGGAACAAATTGAGCCTCTGGTATCTGCAGTTGTTGGCTGGGATATCACACTCAAGGGTAAAAAAACCCAAAACAACCAAAAAAAAGAACTAAAAAAATGTTGTTCGTGGTGAAAGTTAAGTTTTCCGCGCTTGTAAAGTTTAGCAAGGAAACCAGTGACGTCCCTCCTCTGTAGAGGAATATGGATATGGAAAAGGATATGGAAAAAGAAAATATGTGTTTTGGCAATAAAAGCCAAAGATTCCTCCCGTTCACAAGGCTGAATTTAAAACGGAACCTTTGGATCACGCCACCCAGGTGAGGAACAAAAATCTGGCTGAAAGGGAATTGCACAGGATTAGGGAGGGGTTTGGGGGGGTTCGCACGAATATTGAGCTGGTGGTTTGCTGCTTATAGATTCCAGTGTGGAATTAAAAATGTTTTCTTTCCTGCCTAGGAATATGGGACTGCTGCTTGCGAGCGCCTTTGCAATGAACTCGTTAAAGGTAATTTTATTTTATTTTCATTTCCTGCCTTAATTAAATAGCCTGCTTGCCTAAGAGTGTATAATGCCTAAACCTGGTCTGTGATTTTGATTTTCGCTCAGCTGCTACCCGCTAGCGACCTTTAGTAAAGGAATCGCTCGTGCAAACGTGAATTGTTGTTTGCCAGGTTGCTCCACAGTTTGCCGGAGCTGCTGTGGTGGCTGGGGCTGGTGTGATGATTGCAACGGGCTGATGCTAAAGCTTAGTTCCACTTACAAAAGCAAATTTATTCACTCTTTTTTTGTTTGTCAGAAATATCAAGGCGTTATGCATTTGTCTGCTAGGTATACACCAATATGTTTTATTACACCTACCATGACATGGGAGTTGGAAGTAGACACTCTTTAAGGTCCCTTCCAGTGCAAACCATTCCACTATCCAATCACAGATAATTCTGAGTAATGAAGTATAACCCAGGTATTAATTTACCTGCCCCGGCACCCCAGAAAACCAACTGTGCCCTGGGCTGCATCAAGAAAAGTGTGTCCAACAGGTCGAGGGAGGAGATTCTGCCCCTCAGCTCCACTCTGGTGAGACCCCACCTGCAGTTCTGCATCCAGCTCTGGGGCCCCCAGCATCAAAAGGGCATGGACCTGTGGAGCAGGTCCAGAGGAGGCCACGAAGATGATCCAGGGGGTTGGAGCAACCCCCCTATAAGGACAGGTTGAGCCAGTTGAGGTTGTTCAGACTAGAGAAGAGAAGGCTCCTAAGGGGGAGAACTCATAGCGGCCTTCCAGTGCTTAAAGAGGGCTTAAAGTGGGAGAAGGACTCTTGGTGAGGGAGTGTAGTGATAGGATGAGGGGTAACAATTTCAGGCTGGAAAAGGGTGGATCTAGGTGAGATGTAAGGAAGAAATTCTTTTCTGTGAGGTTGCTGAGACACTGGAAGAGGTTGCCCAGAGAAGCTGTAGAAGACTCATACTTGGAAATGTCTAAGGTCAGGTTGGATGTGGCTTGGAGAACGCTAGTCTAGTGGGAGGTGTCCCTGCCACTGCAACGGGGTTGGAAGTAGATGATCGTTAAGGTCCTTTCCAACCCAAATGACTCCATGATTCTACGACTGTCTTTACAAAAACCAAGTGGGGAAGCTCACCACACCCTCACCACCACCACCACACACCCGCACCACCCCGTAGGACTTCATAAACACAGATAAATTTCGAAAAAAAAAAGGCAGCAACCTCCAAATTCCTGACATGCAATGTCAGGAGGTCCACTGGGGTGCGAGAAACACAATGGTATGGGGTTCCAAATCCTGAACGCAGAGGCCAAGTGTGCATGTTGCTGGGTAGTGCCCAGTCTCTATTTCAGTAACAGGTCAGGCTTGCTTTTGTCCTTCAAGAAAGTTGGCTGCCCTGCCTCCCAGAAACCTCTTCCTCTTGAGGAGAAGTGGAGCATCTTTGTTTCCGTGGTTGCCCTTTGGTGGGGAGACAGACACGGACACCTGACTTGTGCTCAGAAGTTTTATTGCAATTAGGGACCGATGAATTCCTTGCGAGCGGGAACCACACAAATCAGCGCCGTGGTCAAGCAGGACCAGCTCATGGCTTCTGCCCTGTAAGACCTGAAGATGTCTCCTCCTGCTTTGCTTATCTCTTCCTTGCTTTACGCAAAGGCAAAAAGTCAAGATTGTCTAGGTAAAAGCATGAGAACTTTTTGGGTACAGAATGGGGACAAGGAATGAGGCACTGGGATGAGGCA